TCTGGTTAGCAGGCAAGTGTCTTAGCCACTATGCTACCAGAGACTCCTCGGAAGGAAGGTTGGGCAATCCTACTTCCTTAGTGATACTGCCTCGGAAACCTAAGGAGGGGTCTCTATGAGTCCGGGCCGACTTGACGGCACATAACAACAACAACAACAACATGTTCTCTTTTTATATCCCAAAGGTGTTTAGTTTAAAATACACTGACAGTGACAGGGCTACTTAGCATAACCAAGAAAACCCATTCCCAGATGGGATTGTAACCACAGGTATAACCACTGCCATCCAGTCAATTCTGACTCATAACAACCCTATAGGGCAGAGTAGAACCGCCCCTTAGGATTTCTAAGGCTGTAATCTTTATACAGAAGCTGATTGCCTCATCTTTCTTCTACAGAGCTGCTGGTGGGTTTGAACTGCCAGCCTTTTGGTTAGCAGTCAGAGGCTTTAACCACTGTGCTACAAGAGCTCCTTACCACAGGCATAGGAGTTGGGATTTACAACACAGATTTTTGGGAGGATTCAGTTCAATACGTAACACAGACCAATACTAAGTTACTGAACTTTTCAAGCTTTGCGGATCTAGGAGGTGAAAAGTGCTATTTCAGTGTAGTTTTTTTTTTTTTTTTTTAATTATTGTAAAATACACAGTTGATTCCAACCATTTTAAAGTACAGCATTCAGCGTATTAAGTGCATTCACAGTGTTGTGTGACCGTCACCACTGTTTAATTTCAGCACCTTTTCACCACCCACCTGACACCCTGCACCTGCAAAGCAGTCACCCACATCTCAGTGTGGTTTTAATTTACTTCCACTTCTCTTGGGCAAAAAGTTGAGCATCCTTTGATGTTCAAGGGCCGTTTGATTTCCTTTTCTGTGAACTGCCTGCCTGTTGATGTCCTCTCCCTATTTTTTATAGAGTTTTTTCTCATAAAGGAGCGGTGGGTCCAGTGGTTAAGCATCAGCTGCTGACCAAAAGGTCATTGGCTTGAACCTACCCACTGCTCCTTGGCAGAAGGATGAGGCAGCCTGCTTGGTAAAGACTGCAGCTTTGGAAACCCTCTGGGGCAGTGGTGGTCTGTCCCACAGGCCTGCTAGGAATTGGAATTGACCCGAGGGCAGCGAGTTTGGTTGGTTTTGTTCTTTTTCGTGGTGATCTGTAGTTCTTTCTACACTAGGGGACAATAATCCTGTGCGATATGACTTGCAGTTATTTTTTTCTTTAGTTTCTGTTTTGATTTAGTTTATGGGGCTTTTTACAGAACAGTTGTATTCATTTCTTTGATGGCTTCTGAGTATGGAGTCTTCTCTACAAGACCTTTTACACCCCTAATATTATTTTAAAATACTCCCTTGTTCTCTTTTGTAAACCTTGGATCCCTCTGCCGTGTGTGTGTGTGTGTGTGTGTGTGTGTGCGCGTGCGCATGCGCGCGCACACTTATGTCTTGTTAGACATGAACTCTGGATCTGACTTAATTCATTTTTAGGTGGCTACCCAGTTGTCCCAACACCATTCATTAAGTAATTCGTCTTTCCCCCCATATTTGAAGTAGGGTTTTTTATCATAATGTTAAACACTTTTGCTTCAGATTTTTTTAAAACTTCCCATCTGTTTCATTGGTCCCTAACTGGCCACAGAGCAGCACCGTGCATCGTAAATTCCTATAGCTTTGCCGTCCTTTAAACCTTGATAAGGCTAGTTCCCCTCACTGCTTTTCACTTTCATAATTTTTCTGTGTATTCTTATTTTCCATGGGAAGGTTAGAATTAACTTCTGTTTTTCTAAAAAGTCTTTTTGTTTTCCTTGGACTGTTAAATTTCTAGGGAGAATTGACCTCTTTGTAACGTTGGGCTTCCTGTTCAGGGGTAGGGCACGCCTTCCACTTTGTCAGGACTTCTAGTCCGTGCCTTAGTAGTTTCTATGAAATTTCTTCACATAAATATTGAATATGTCTTACTGTATTGCCAAGGAGCTCTGGTAGCATAGTGTCTGAGGGATTTGACTGCTAACCAGAGGGCTGGTGGTTCAAACCTACCAGCCACTCCTCGGAAGGAAGGTTGGACAATCTACTTCCGTAGTGATACTGCTTCGGAAACTCAAGGAGGGGTCTCTACAACTCCAGGGCAGTGAGCTTGTTTTCTTGGAACTGTATTGCCAAGTATTTTGTGACCCTCGAGGAGGGAGGCTGGTGCTCATTCCTCAATGTGGGTGGGTGGGGATGAGCTCTGGACCGCATCTCAAACTGGGCACTGTTCCTGTATCCTGCCCCCACCCGCCCCCGGCCCCCCAACTCATCTCCTTTTCCTTCTCCTGGCCTTTGCCCTCCCAGACACCATCCGGAAGATGAAGAATGATTTCCGGAAGATGGAGGACGAGATGGACCGGCTGGCAAACAATATGGCAGTGATCACGGACTTCAGTGCGCGCATCAGCGCCACGCTGCAGGACCGCCACGAGCGCATCACCAAGCTGGCAGGTGGGCTCTGCCCTGTGGCCCCAGCCCTACCCCACCCAGGTGGCCCAGCCCCGGGGTTCCGGAGCTAACACCCCCCCCCCCCCGCACCGCTCCAGGGGTCCACGCGCTGCTGCGGAAGCTGCAGTTCCTTTTTGAGCTGCCCTCGCGCCTCACCAAGTGTGTGGAGCTGGGTGCCTACGGGCAGGCGGTGCGCTACCAGGGCCGCGCCCAGGCCGTGCTGCAACAGTACCAGCACCTGCCCTCCTTCCGCGCCATCCAGGATGACTGCCACGTCATCACGGCTCGCCTGGCCCAGCAGCTCCGGCAGCGTTTCAGGTGGGCGTGCCCTCGGCCCTCGCCCCAGCCCCAGCCGTGCCGGGCTCCCACACCCTCGCGTGTGTTCTTCAGGAACGGTTGCCCAGCCCCGAGTGTTCCTGTCCCCCACCGTCTCCTGCCCCTCGGCTGCCCGGGCCCCTGTGCCTCACTGCCGTCTTTGGTGCAGGGAGGGTGGTTCAGGCGCCCCCGAGCAGGCCGAGTGTGTGGAGCTGCTGCTGGCCCTGGGCGAGCCGGCCGGGGAACTGTGTGAGGAGTTCCTGGCTCACGCCCGAGGAAGGCTGGAGCATGAGCTGCGGGGCCTGGAGGCTGAGCTGGGACCCTCCCCGCCCGCGCCCGACATCTTAGAGTTTACCGACCACGGGGGCAGCGGCTTTGTGGGCGGCCTCTGCCAGGTGGCTGCGGCCTACCAGGAGCTGTTTGCCGCCCAGGGCCCCGAAGGGGCCGAGAAGCTGGCAGCCTTTGCCCGCGAGCTGGGTGGCCGCTACTTTGAGTTGGTGGAGCGGCGGCTGGCTCAGGAGCAGGGCGCCAGTGACAATTCGCTGCTGGTGCGAGCGCTGGACCGCTTCCACCGGCGTCTGCGGGCCCCTGGCGCCCTGCTGGCTGCTGCGGGGCTCGCTGAGGCGGCCACGGAGATCGTGGAGCGGGTGGCCCGCGAGCGCCTGGGCCACCACCTGCAGGGCCTGCGAGCTGCCTTCCTGGGCTGCCTGACTGACGTGCGCCAGGTGCTGGCTGCGCCCCGCCTGGCTGGGAAGGAAGGCCCGGGTCTGGCTGAGTTGCTGGCCAACGTGGCCAGCTCCGTCCTCAGCCACATCAAGGCCTCACTGGCTGCAGTCCACCTCTTCACTGCCAAGGAGGTGTCCTTCTCCAACAAGCCCTACTTTCGGGTACGGCCTGCTCCTGGGCTCTCATCCATGCTGCCGTGGCCCTCTGCACCCTGTACCTTGCTGGGGGGCTGGGAACAGGCAGCCCAGGGCCCCAGTCCCTGCCCCAGGCACTTTGCCTCTGGCTTCTGGCTCTCCTGAGGGAGGCAGACATAGGCCAGTTGAGCTGGGTCAGGAAGGCTCCAAGGGGTGTCTGCAGCTGGGCTGCGAGCAGGAGGGAGGCGGGGTCCTCAGTGCCAGCTCTGGCCTTCCTGTCCCCCAACTCCCACCCCCGCAGCAGGGGAGCTGCCCTGAGGTCCTGGTGTGCAGAATGAAGCTTCCGGTGTTGAGGGGCCGGGTTGCTCAGGCCCTCGGCAGAGGGGCACCAGCAGCCCCTCCCCGGAAGAAGGGACCTGCTGTGTACCGGCCCCTCCTCCTCGCAGGGCGAGTTCTGCAGCCAGGGCGTCCGGGAGGGCCTCATTGTGGGCTTCATCCGCTCCATGTGCCAGACGGCTCAGAGCTTCTGTGACAGCCCCGGGGAGAAGGGAAGCGCCCCGCCGCCTGCCCTGCTCCTGCTGCTCTCGCGCCTCTGCCTGGACTACGAGACGGCCACCGTCTCCTACATCCTCACTCTCACCGATGAGCAGTTTCTGGTGCAGGTACCTGGTGGGTTTGAGACTCCAGTGCCTAGGGGGTAGGGGAAGCAGGGATGGTGGTGCCCACAGGCCAGCTGCTTGGGCCAGCCTCCACCTCACCCACTCCTGGCCCTGCTCCTGGTTGGCAGTGGGCCTGGGCTGCCCTCAGTCCTGCCGCCCCTCTGCTTCCCCGGTTCAGGACCAGTCTCCAGTGACGCCGGTGAGCACACTGTGTGCAGAGGCCAGGGAGACGGCACGGCGGCTGCTGACACACTACGTGAAGGTGCAGGGCCTGGTCATATCTCAGATGCTGCGGAAGAGCGTGGAGACGCGGGACTGGCTCAGCACCCTGGAGCCACGGAACGTGCGGGCCGTCATGAAGCGGGTGGTGGAGGACACCACGGCGATCGACGTGCAGGTGCTGTCTGGGCAGCCGCTGACCCTGGCAGACCCGGGCTGTGGGACCGCCCGCTAGACATCCAAGACAGTCTTGGGGCGAGGCAGGGCCAGCATCCATGGCCTCATGCCTCCTGGGCTGTGGCCTCATTGCCCCAGTTTCACCTTGAGGAAGCTGAGGCCCAGAGTCACCCCAGAAGCCAAGGCAGGGCTGTAGCTGAAGATTGGGCCTGGGTACCAACTCTGTGTCCGGCTTTGTCACACTCTGTTGGCTCTATAGTGACAGGGTACCAGTTAGGTACGAGGCGCAGGGGGATGACCCTGTGATCCTTGTAGCAAATACATGGGTAACTTAAGGCCCAGGTGCCTGGTGGGCAGGAGAGCCCCGTGCTCTGGCCTGCCTGCAGTGCCCCCTTTCACCACCAGGTGGGGCTCCTGTATGAGGAAGGTGTTCGCAAGGCCCAGAGCAGCGACTCCAGCAAGAGGACTTTCTCCGTATACAGCAGCTCCCGGCAGCAGGGCCGCTATGCACCCAGCTATACACCTAGGTCTGGCCCGGTGGTCGGGGTGCCCCAGGGGCAGTGGGCAAGAGCACAGGGTGCAGGGGGGCTCTGATGCCTTGCATTTCCTTCCCCAGTGCCCCGATGGACACCAACCTCTTGAGCAACATTCAGAAGCTCTTTTCTGAACGCATTGACGTGTTCAGCCCGGTGGAGTTCAATAAGGTGTGAGCCGCCAGGTCCCCGGGGAAAGGTGGCTGGAGAAGCCCTAGGGCCCTGCCCACCCCAGTCCCTGTTCCCGAGCTTCCCCAGGGCTGTTTCTAGGAATGTGGGTGCTGAGCTAGAGACCCGCCCTTTCCCCTGCCAGCCCCCAGCATCCCACGGCCCCTTCACCCGATCTTGATGTTTCCCCAGTGTGCCTCTTCTGCCCCATCCTTGTACCTACAGTAAGGAGTCCCCAGGGGTGGCACAGTGGTTAAGCCCTCGACTGCTAACCAGAAGGTCGATGTTACAATTCACGGGCTACACTATGGAAGAAAGAGGTGGCGGTCTGCTTCCACAAAGCTTACAGCCTTGGAAACCTTATGGGGCAGTTCTGCTCTGTCCTGAAGGGTAGCCGTGGGTCAGAATCGGCTCCACAGTGGGTTTGGGTTTGAGCTTTGCTTCTGAGAAGATTAACAGCCTTGGAAACCCCGTAGGGCAGTTCTGCTCTGTTCTACAGCATAGCTGTGGGTTGTAATCGACTTGACAGCAGTGGGTTTGGTTTTTGGGGTGGCGAAAACAGGTGCTTCACTACTAGCTGAAAGGTTGGTGGTTCGAGTCCACGCATGAGCACCTTGGAAGACAGGAGTGGTGACCTTCCAGAAGGCGCCAGCCTTGCAAACCCTGTGGGGCGGTTCTGTTCTGACACACGGGGTCACTAGGAGTTGGACTTGACAGTAATGGGGTGTACCCATAGTAGACCTGGGTCCTAGTCACACCATGGTCTCTTCCACACTGCACTGTACGGTTAGGGACCTGGTGTTCTCTGCCACTAACTCAGTAACGCCCCCCCCCATGTCAGTGATGTCAGTGTTGACCTTCATCTCTGCCTCCCCTCAAGATGACGGTGTAACCCCTACCCCTCCCTCTTACCGGGTCCGGGGACTTTCTACCTCAACCTCTGGTCCTGCCACCTCACTTATCCTGGCGCCTGCCCAGAGCTTGGCTCCCCTGCCCTCTCCCACCGCCTGCCTGATATCAGCTAGCCGCCTGACCGTGGCCCGCCCGCAGGTGTCGGTGCTGACGGGCATCATCAAGATCAGCCTGAAGACGCTGCTGGAGTGCGTGCGGCTGCGCACCTTCGGCCGCTTTGGACTGCAGCAGGTCCAGGTGGACTGCCACTTCCTGCAGCTCTACCTGTGGCGCTTCGTGGCCGACGAGGAGCTCGTGCACCTACTGCTGGACGAGGTGGTGGCCTCAGCGGCCCTGCGCTGCCCGGACCCTGTGCCCATGGAGCCCAGCGTCGTCGAAGTCATCTGCGAGCGCGGCTAGGCTGCCCGCACCCAGCCCACCCGTCCCCTCCCCGGCCTCGGGTCTAATAAACACGCGTCGCCTCCTTTAGGCCCCAGCTCTTCTTCTGTTGGGGGCGGGGTTTTAAGGCTGCCGAGTGTCGCGTCGGACCCGCCCCCGAGAGCTGATTGGCTGGTTTTCTGGGCCCAGGATGGGCCGGGGGCGGGGCCGTTTACAGGCCTTGGGCCGGGCTGGTCGCGCTCCTGCTCAGCAGAGACAGGTGCAGACGCAGCGGCGCCACTGCGCCCGTCTCCTGGGGGCTGGGGTGGGCTGTGCTGCTCTGACAGGGCTTTGTGAACGTCCCGGGCGGAGCGGAGACCATGGCCCCGCAGGGCTCCCCGGCCCCGCTGGAATTCGGGGGGCCGCTGGGTAATGAGACAGAAGAGGGGCTGGAGGCGGGAATTGGGGCAGGGGTTCCGCGAGAGGGTGAGGTACTGGCGGGTGGGACCCAGGGCTGGAGGGCTTGCAAGGTATTGCAGGCGGGGGACAGTGGCGAGGGACAGGTGAGCTCTGAGTGGGGCTAGTCCCGGCGGCTGCAGATCCGGAATTGGTGGGATGGGGAGCCAGAGGGGGCCTGGGAGCCAAGCTGGAAGTCAGGGAAGAAGAATGAGAGGCAAGGGACCCGTAGGGATCAGGGCTGAGAACGGAACCGAGACAGGCGAGGGGGAGCGCGAGCCGACGCCCAGTGCCGTCGCCCCTCGTCTTTGTGTCCCTGCCCTAGGCGCGGCGGCGCTGATGCTGCTGCTCCCTGCCACCATGTTCCACCTGCTCCTGGTGGTCCGCTCGGGCCCGGCGCGCCTCCTGGGCCCGCCCCCCCACCTGCCCGGGCTCGACGCGCTCTGGAGCCCGCGGGCGCTGCTGCTGTGGCTCGCCTGGCTCGGCCTGCAGGCGGCGCTCTACCTACTGCCGGCGCGCAAGGTGTGAGCCCCGCTGGCGCCGACGCGCGGGGCGGGCGGCGGGCTGGGGGAGCGGCTCCGCTGGGCGACGGCACCCAGCCCTTATCAGAGGCGCTCTGTGCCCGCAGGTGGCCGAGGGCCAGGAGTTGAAAGACAAGAGTCGCCTGCAGTACCCCATTAACGGTGCCGGAAGGACGGGGCCTTGTGCTGGGGATGCGCGGGTCCAACCCTGTGCCTGGAGGGGGAGGGGGGAATCCCTGGAAATGAGCGCCCCACCCCCACCAAGGACAGCCCGGAGATGCCCACTGTCCCTCTCCAGAGCGCGTCTACCTCTGCAACACCCCATTGGCTGCTCTAGGCCCAAGCGCTGACGGGGCGACTGTCTCAAAGCCAAGATGGCAGTCTAATAGCTCTCGGTGGTCTGTGTGCGTTGGGGGGCGAGTGGAGGTGCACAGCTTCCGGTGCTTACTGTGTTGCTGTCTCAGGCTTCCAGGCCCTGGTGCTGACAGCCGTGTTGGTGGGGCTGGGGGTGTCAGTGGGACTGCCCCTGGGGGCCCTCCCGGACATGCTGCTGCCCTTGGCCTTTGCGGCCACACTCATCGCCTTCATCTTTAGCCTCCTCCTCTATCTGAAGGCTCAGGTAGCTCCTGCCTCAGCCCTGGCACCTGGGGGAAACTCAGGTGAGAGGGGTCCCAGTGGGGTGGGGATGGAGGCCAATGGGGGCACCCGTTGTTTCCACCCTCCCTTATTCTCCAGGCAATCCCGTTTACGACTTTTTCCTGGGACGGGAGCTCAACCCGCGTGTCAGTTTCTTGGACTTCAAATACTTCTGTGAACTGCGGCCTGGCCTCATCGGCTGGGTACGCTGGGCTTGGCCGAGTGGTCAGGAGACAGGTGGGAGGGGGCAGTGCTTGGGCGGGACAGAGCCCAAACTTCATTCATTCATGCCACAAATATGTGCTGAGTCCACCATTTGCTCCAGGCATGCTCTGCACCCTACAGGATAGGGTAACACGCGAAAAAAAAGTACAGAAGATTAAAGAAATAAGAAAAACCTGCCTTCATGGAGCCTACATTGTACTGGGGAAGACAGACAAAAAAATATAAAATATGTAAAATATTTATAGCATGTCAGGGCATGAGAAGTGCTATAAAAAATATATATTTATATAGCAGATGGGCAAAGAGAGAAAATGTGATTTTAAATAAAGCGGTCAAGCCCAGACTATGTCCAGGGGAGGGGTCATGGCAGTGCGGAAGTGAGAACTGATGACCCTTGTGACTGGTGGCCTTGACAACATGCCAGCTGTGTTCTTTGGCTGCCTCCTGGGTAAGGTCTTTCAAAATCACCCTGGCAATGACCTCATCTGGAAGTGGGCGGAGCCAGGCACCCACTGTCTGGATCCAGCCTGACCAGATCCCAGCCTGCTTGCGGGGCCTCCGAGGCTCTCTCCTGAGCTGTGGAGAGGCGAAAGCAAAAGCTTTCTCCGATGATGACTGTGAGGATTGGCAGAGATACCCCAGCGACAGCCCCGAGCCCAATGTCACTCCAAGGAGGTGCTCAGTGCAGGCTGGCTCCCAGTGAACCGTCCCGGAGCACTTCTGCACTAGAGACGCACTGCTCAGCGCTTCCCATGCCGCACGTCATTTGGTCCTCAGACAGCTCCATGAGATAAGCACGTCATGATCCCCATTTTCCACATGCAGACACATTAAGTGACCCTCCAAGTGGCCGAGCTGAGATTCAAAGCTAAGTCTGTCCTAATTCTGGTGCCCAAGCGTCCGACTCCTCTCCAACAGGGCCCCCTGCAGGATAGGGTAAGAGAAAACGGGCAGGGAGCAGGTACAGAGCCTGGACAGCCCCAGGTACAGAGCCTGGACACAGTCAATGAAGAGCTAGAGTGACTGTGACAGCTGGGAGAAGGGGTGAGGCTGGCTGCTGCCACCTGTATGTAGATGGGTTGGGAACAGACTGCCCTGTCTCCTCTACTCCCTCAGGTCCTCATCAACTTGGCCCTGCTGACGCAGGAGGCGAAGTTACGGGGCAGTCCCTCACTGGCCATGTGGTTGGTCAATGGCTTCCAGCTACTGTATGTGGGTGATGCTCTCTGGTACGAGGTGAGGCTGGACTGGGCAGGGGTGGCAGGGGAGGGTGTCCGAGGCCCTCATGGGGATTACGCTGGTGTACCCGGGCCCTGTTTCTGCAGGAGGCCGTCCTTACCACCATGGACATCACCCATGACGGCTTTGGCTTCATGCTGGTCTTTGGGGACTTAGCCTGGGTACCCTTCACCTACAGCTTGCAGGCTCAGTTCCTGCTGCACCACCCACAGGTTCTGGGGCTGCCCATGGCCTCCACCATCTGCCTCATCAACGGTCAGTCAGAAACGGGCAGCAGGCTGGGCCCACCATTCCCCGCCCCTTTCATTCACTGTCCACTCAGCACCCACTAGGGAAACACTAAGTCTTCTCTAAAGGCAAAGGCTGGGTCCCGAGTCCAGGCTGACTGCATGTGTGCTGGGGGCAGGGTAGGTATATGGTCAGGGTCAGGCAGAGGCTATGACCCTGGACCCTGACCACCATATTCACTCTTCCTCCCCAGCCATTGGTTACTACATCTTCCGTGGGGCCAACTCCCAGAAAAACACTTTCCGAAAGAATCCTTCTGACCCCAGAGTGGCTGGTGAGCTGGGTCTTTAGGGTGCCCTGGGTGAAGCGGGGCATCTGGGCTGAGGATGCCAACCACTGCCAGTCTCTCCCCAGACCTCGAGACCATTTCTACAGCCACCGGGCGGAAGCTGCTGGTGTCTGGGTGGTGGGGTATGGTCCGCCATCCCAACTACCTTGGAGACCTCATCATGGCTCTGGCCTGGTCCCTGCCATGCGGTGAGTGGGCTGGGTGGACACAGGCTGGGCGTGCATGAGGGTCAAAGGTGCAGTGGGGACCCTAAGATGCCTCATATGGGTGTGGCATGGGGAACAGGGAGGAACCCTGGAGGAAGCAGTCAGGGAGCTTGGGAGAGACCCAGCACGTGGCTGTGGGGCAGAGGCTTCTGAGCCAGCCTGGCAGTGCCAGGGCCTTGCTGTGGGCCCTGGCCAAGGCCTTTCAACCGCTGGAGCCTCATGTTCTTTTGAGCTCTTAGGTGTGGAAATCTTTTGAACTGGGGGCTGGCTGGTGGTCACAGAGCTCACCCTCCCCCAGGGGTCTCCCACCTGCTGCCCTACTTTTACCTCCTCTACTTCACCGCGCTGCTGGTGCACCGGGAGGCACGTGACGAGCGGCAGTGCCTGCAGAAGTACGGCCTGGCCTGGCAGGAGTACTGCCGGCGCGTGCCTTACCGTATCCTGCCCTACGTCTACTGAGGCAGTACACCCAGTTGGGGCACATGCCCATCCATCCACCAGCACACCTGGCACCAGGAACCTGGACACACCTGGACTCGGGGGCCTGCACCCTACCCACTCTGAGCTCCAACCGTGGCCAGAGGAGCCCGGGATGAACAGCTTCAGGGAAGAGGTGGTTTGGAGCAAGCAAAAAATTGAAGCCAGTGCAGAGGGGGCAGGGCTGCACTTCTCTTTGGATAAACACCTGGAACCTTTGGTGCCTTCTCTCCCATTCTGGGGCTGGGGTGTTAAAACCGGCTGGCTCAGGCCTGATTACCAGGAGGTCGATGAGGTTTGTGGGCCCAAGAGTCTGGAGTTAGTGGGGCAACAGAGCAGACCAGCCATGGCTTTATTAACGACAAAGGTCCCCAGTTCAGCCAGGGAGTTCCTCAATCAGAGTCCTCCGGGCAGGTGGCAAGGGGCCTCCCCAGAGCCGTTCCATCTCCCCAGCGAGGGCTGCCATCTCCTCGGCGGCCACAGCACGGGCTCGGTGAGCCCTGGCGCAGTCTAGAGCCAGGGGTGTGAGGGCCGCTTCGTTTTCGTTGGTCCAGGCCAGCAGGAACTGGCACTTCTTCCGGGCCCGGTAGAGGCGCTCTCGCTCTCCCGCATCCACTGCCCGTCTCCGGGCCCCGCCCAGGATCTGCGCCACGTGCCCCAGTGCTGCGAGCGTGTAGCCCTTCTGGTTGGCTGGGCCCTCGCCCAGCAGGATGCGGGCGGCCTCGTGCATGGCACCGCGTGTGCCCAGGGGCCCCGGCGCGTGCTCACCCGCCTCCAGCACGTGGATTGCGGCCTGCAGGGCTTCCTCGGTGGAGGTGAAGACTTGCTGGGCGCCCAGAGCCCCGGAAACGCCGAGCAGGGTGGCACAGAGGTCGGAGAGCAGCAGCGCATCGTCCCCGCCGTGATACAGGGCGAGAGTGTGCGCGTAGGCGAACAGCACGTTGGGCAGCTGGAAGCGCACGAGCGGCGAGGCCGGGCCGCGGCTCAGGCTGGCCAGCGCGGGGATGCGGGTGGGTACTGCGGGCGCGCTCGCCCCGGGGGCGTCTCCGAGAACCGGCTCAGCGGCCTCGAGCTCCGCGACGACGGTTGCATCTTTCGCGGGTTCCGGCGGGGTCCTCGCAGGGGCGGGCTCCAGCTCCGCGGCGGCATTGCCCGGCGCGTCATCGAGCTCCTCCAGAAGTCGCGGCTTGGTCCCGCGGGCCCACCACCACGGCCTCCATGGGGGCAGCAGCCGCCCTGCCTCGCCACGACTCAGCAGCCGTTCGAAGGCCGCCTTCTCGGCCGGGGTCAACTGCTCCCAAAGGTTTGAGAGGCTGCCGGGCGCCGGGCCAGAGCTGAGGCCTGCGTCTTCGGGCTCATCCTCGGCCTCGCGTTGCTGACGCAGGCGGCGTAGGGCGCTTGCCAGGCGGCTGGGCGAGGCGGTGCGGCCGCGGAGCTCGCTCAGCACCTGGTCGCGGTAGAAGTCTTCGGCGCAGGTGCCATGCGCCCGGTAGCAGCGCAGCGAACAGTAGGTGACATTACAGCGCGGGCAGGTGTAGCGCGCTGGCTGGGCCTCCCCGACTGGGCAGAAACCACAGGGCCCGGCCGGCTCCATGGCAACTGGCTCCGCGAGCCACCCTGGAACTTCCGGCGCTTCTTCTGTTACTTCCGCCTCTTTGCCAGGGGGGCGGGGGGGGAGGGGAAGTAATGGAATGCTCGGCCAGAGCTCTTTCGAAAACTCTTGGTAATTCCCGCCCACACTCGAGAGCCAAACCCCACCCCTCGCTCAAGCTGCGTTTGGGCAGGCGCAGAAACCGGCCGTGACCTGGGAGCCAGGTCCCGGGCCTCAGAAGAGCAGGTCTTTTATGGCGACGCTTGAGTCGCAAAAATGCTTCTGCCGGGCACTCTGCCGATACCAGTTCGCCCCCTACTGGTGATGTCGAACGTGCTCTTAAATTGCCTAAAAATACAAAGCATACAACTGCTTAAGGCATCTGACTGCTAACCAGAAGGCTGGCGGTTCAAACCTACCAGCCACTCCTCGGAAGGACGGTTGGGCAGTCTACTTCTTCCGTAGTTATACTGCCTCGGAAACCCAAGGACGGGTCGCTATGATTTGGTCCGACTGGAAGGCACATAACAACAACAACAACAAACCCTCCTAACGCTATTAAGTGTTGTGGCCAAAACCAGCCTTTGCTGAGTACCTACACTGGCTGGTTAATTATGCCAGACATATGGGAGATGCTAAGGAACTCTGGTAGCCTAGTGCCTAAGGCGCTTGACTGCTAACCAGAAGGCTGGTGGTTCAAACCCACCAGCCACTCCTGGGAAGGAAGGTTGGGTAATCTACTTCCGTAGTGATACTGTCTCGGAACACAAGGAGGGGTCGCTGTGAGTCAGATCACCCTCCATGGCATTAAGTTTGTTTATGGGAGATTGAGATGAGATGTGGCCATTCTACTAAGCGGGGCTTGGAACCAGTTCAGTCATGGCCAACGCAACGAAATGGAAACAGACCTGAATTTGTAAAATGTGAGTGTACCGGAAGTATAACTGTAATGGGAATATTTACGGTTTCAAGCCCTGGAAAGGGAGACTCAGAAGAGGCATAGTGAGCCATTTCAGGAGCTTGGTGCAGGGAAATTGGATCAAGCCAGCACTGTGGAGAGCCACACCCATTCAAAGTCGGGCAGTTGGCCACCATCTTTGAGCCGGGCACTGTTGTTTCCTACTTAACCACCCAAGAGATTTGATTGCAAGCTATGTATACACTGCCCTTGTTTTCTAAAAGGGAGATTGTTTCTAGCAGGATGTCTGTTGTTGTTAGGTGCCATTGAGTCACCTCCACCTCACTGACGCTGTGTACAAGAGAACAAAACACTGCCCAGTCCTGCACCACCCTCACAATCACTGCTATGCTTCAGCCTGTCGTTACAGCCAGTGTGTCGAGTCCATCTCGCTGAGGGGCTTTCTGGTTCTCACTAACCCTCTCCTTTACCATGCACAGGAACTAACTGGTCCCTTCTGACAACATGTTCAAAGGACATGAGAAAAAGTCTGGCCATTCTCACTCCTAAGGAGCATTCTGGCTGTACTTCTGACAGTGCCTGGTATTTTCAACATTCTTTGCCAACACCACAATCCAAAAGAGTCAATTCTTCTTCAGTCTTCTTTATTTATTGTCCTACTTTCACATGCATATGAGACTATAGAAAAAACCATGGCTTGGGCCAGGTGCACCTTAGTCTTCAAAGTGACATCTTTGCTGTTTAACATTTTAAAGAGGTTTTTTGAAGCAGATTTGCCCAGTGCACCTGATTTCACGATTGCTCCTTCCATGGGCATCGATTGTAGACCCAAATAAAATGAAATCCCGTCAGTCTTTCTTCCTTTTATGATGTTGTTCCTTATTGGTCCAGTTGTGAGGATTTTTTTTTTTTTTTTTTTCTGTTGAAGCGTAATCTGTACTGAAGGCTGTAGTCTTTGAACTTCATCAGGAAGTGCTTCATGTCTTCACTGTCAGCAAGCAAGATTGTGTCATTGGCATACTGCAAGCTGTTAATGAGTCTTCCTCCAATCCTGATGCAGGATGTAAATCCGTAATTTTTTGTTTGTTATTGTGCCAGTACACCCACATTTTACAAATTTTGGTCCGTTCCACTTTTGCTTCATTGGCCATGACTGAACTGGGAAGAACCATTTTGAAGTCTGGCTTGTAAGATATACAAATAAGGTCCAGATGGGGGCACCTGAGCCCAGCCTGGGTACATTGGGGGTATCTCTTGTCTTCAGCAGAAAGCAACAAAAATGTGAGCTCCTGTTTTCCTCCAAACACACCTTTTCTGTCTTCTCATCGCGTCACAACTTTTTGTCCAACTGCACTCGTACAGCGCACGTCATACTGGGCACCAAGAACACAATGAGGAGCAAAGTGAGACAGGGCCGTCTCAGTGGAACTCACAGGGGAGTAGGGATGAGGAACTGCCAAGAACCGTGCCAAGCCCTGGAAGACTTGATCCACGGCATGCCTGAAAGTAAACACTGGTCCCTTTCTTCCCTCTTAACCCCACATCCCATCCCACTTCCTATCAGTCTATCTCCAGGATAGCCGGCATTTATTTGGACATGAATTAGACATTTTAATACCAGTATTTCAATGGTGTTAACTTTCTAATTTTTTTTTTTTTAATTTTATTTGGCTTTGGGTGAAGATTTACAGAGTAAATTCACTTTTCATACAGCAGTTCACATACACCTTGTCTCATGTCATTGACCAAAATTTGCAATGCAACAGCTCCCCTCCCACTTCCTCCCCATAGT